TGTTCAAGGTCATCTCCAAGGTCAACTGCCGGGCGTCAGGACCCAGCAACATCCGGTATTTCTACGAGAAAAAACCCACAGACTTGACGATAATTGGAGGTAATAATAACAACATAGCAACGAGGAAAACAGTTTTCCGCTCAAGGCGCTTTAAATAAATGCATGTACGAACAATATTCATGCACGCACACACACACATGCATACACACACACACACATACTCACATTACACGCACACATGTGCACAAACATGCATGCCACGCACGCGCACGCACACACACACACACACACGCACACACCTACTTGCTTATCACACGCGCATGCTTACACATCGTTACAAAATGAGCACATACAAAAACATAAAATAATATACACAATGCAATTCGCAAAATACATAAATGTCATTCACATATGACATACTATTTACAAGTCATTTACATAACATTGTACTGAACATGAATCTACTGACATAAAAATGATGTCATTAAATGTGTCTTTAAAGATGTTGTATGTCTCAAGGGTTGGGGAAGAGAGTTCCAAACTGATGGAGCAAGGTGGGCAAACGATCTTTCCGCTAATTTTTTACCTCCTTTTCTAGGAACTCCTAAAAGATACTGATCGCCTAATATTAGTGATCTAGGTGGAACATAAATCTGGATGAGATCGCTAAGATATGAGGGATGTTTACTGTCACCATAACAACAACTATATGTCAGACGTGCTGACAAAATGAGTTACTTCTCACAATCCACAAATGGAGATATTGGCCAAAAATCGACACTAGGGTGAAATTTGTAGATTTTTCTATTGATGCCGCAATCTTAAAGTACAAAATGCCTTTTCTTATTTCATACTTATAAATTGTAAAAACTTCACCTATAAGCGTGATGTATCTATCTATTTCCATAAGGATAAAATCCGAGAAGTAACTCATTTTGTCAGCTCACTTCACATATGATATCGCCACCTGCCTTGCCAATAGGCCTCACCTGAGTGACATCGGAATAACTCCCCGCTTCGACAGTGATCACGTAATCTCCGGCCGGGAGGTAGAACACGAAATGTCCGTCCTTGTCCGTCGTGTACTCGTATCCCGCAGGCTTGACCATGACCTTGGCCGAGGCCAGCGGCTTTCGAGACTCCTTCTCAATGACGGTGCCGTACACTCCACTGCGAGCCTGGCAGGAAAAAAAGACGACAGAAATTTGTTTATGTTAGCTGCGGTTTTTTTGTAACACAATATGGTAATATAAGTGCCGAAGATTAGAGGTGATACAAGAGAGTAACAAACACAAAATAGAAGGAGGGGAGATAAGGAGGATGTATGTTGGATAGGAAAGAGGGAGAAAACCACACCAGAGCACCCGCCAGTCACCCACCAACAGTCAACACCATTTGACGGGAAACAAAACGAAGAAAAAAATAATCAAAGTGTTTTTTGTTTTTGTAAGTGTTTTACGGCGCTCGCAACTGCATCAAGTCATATTAGTGCGCGGAACACATTAAACTTTTTCAGTTGGTAGACAATTTTGAATTTTGCCCGGTAGCCGAAGCCTACTCTTATCGATTGTAGACCACCAAGGGATCTTTAACGTGCGCAACTTGCACACGGGCCCTCTGAGATTTTTTGCCCTTGTCCGAGAAGGCTAGGTGTAGATCTTTCCTACCAGAAGATCAGGGGTGTGGCTGAAAGACAGCAGTAAGAAGAAGCCAAAGAGAAGCATTAGAAAGGCTGTAGAAAGAATCAGGAACCCAGTGGAGGGGGGCAAAGGAGATGAGGGAGTGGGGGCAGAAAGAGGAGACGAAAGCAGACGACAGAACATTGCTAGAGAGCAGGAAAGGAGGTGATCAAAGTGTGTTTTTACGCCACTCTCTGCTGAGTTGGAGTATAATTCTAAACCACAATCAACAACATTCTTTGGGGGTTCCAGTGGCTAATTAAGTAAGTAGTGAGTTTAGACTCAAGTAATGTCAAGCAAGTGTCGGTGACACGGGGATCAGATGGGTGGTCACTGGGGTGTGTCATTGAGCAAGACACGACAACCCTAGCTCAAAATACAGGGTGCTGCACAGTGGCGTCCGATAGAGGCATGGTTGTAAACTGATCTGTATTTGTGTGATATTGTGTATTTATGTATGTACTTATGCAAGTACTTATGTATGTACGTATTTATGATTATGTATTTATGTATGTATATGTATGTTTGCCATTGTAAACCAAAGAGCCCTTCTGGGACAAATAAAAGTGTAATTCATTTATTGTTTAAAATTTTTATTTGACAGCAAACAAGACGGAGAAAAAAAATGGATCAAAGTAAAAGACAACTCACCTCCTGGATGAGAGAGACGAGGGACTGTGAGTTGCGGCGCCAGACGTCCTTCAGCTGCCCCGCGGGGGGGAAGGTGCAGCAGTCTATGTAGGTCTCCACAGCACCGCGGTGTGAGTACCAGTATGTGTACCACTGTCAATGGGAGGGGAGGGGAGGGGGAATGAAATGTGATGTTTTCGTAAGAGTTTTACGGCACTTGCAACACAATAAGGTCATATAAGTGCCGAAGATTAGAGGTGTTACAAGAGAGTAACAAACACAAAAAAGAAGGAGGAGAGGTAAGGACGATAGATGTTCGATAGGAAACAAGGAACACACCACACGAGAGCACCCGCCAACCACCCACACATGGATATTTATTCCTTCATGAGAGATTGACAAAAAGAGTAAAGGAAACAATCTATTCTTTTTTTTTAAAGTGCAAGAGCCGCAGAGACAGATGGACGTGCAAGAGCCACAGAGACAGACGGACGTGCAAAAGTCGCACAGACGGACGGTACAGGCCGCATCACTCACCACTAGGCTGCCCTTCTCTGGCTCCACCGACGCACGGGGGACGATGGCTTCTTTCTTGCCTGAGGAGACACAACGGAAAAACAGTCG